GACCAAGTTTGATCCTTGAACCCACCTCCACCTCTGCTGTCGATCCTCACTTTGGATCTGGGTTTCTGTCAACGCATGGTGTTACTGGTCTTTCTAGCATGTCGGATGTTCCAGGGCTTATTGAAATTGAACAAGAAACAAACACCGTCAATCCTTTGGACATGTTGGCATTAGTAGCGATGGATAAACCTCCTTCTCTTCCTTTACCTTTACCTCCTCATCCACATCCGATTCGCCCGATCTCCCAGCTAAGGCTGACACGTCCTACGAACCAAATCAGGATAGAGTACAGAGGGTCCTTGATATGGACATCCGATTGGAAAGTAAGTCAATTTGTCAATCTTACATTCATCCGTAATGGGTTAATTTTTTACCGGTGTCGTCGCTGTAAACCCGTTCGCTGACAGCCCAGCTCATGCTTCCTAACGCCATCCGTGCCCGATCAACCTGGAATCTCTTCCAAGTCGACGTCTCTCTCCATCGTCTTTTTCCTTATCATCTTTCATCCAGTCCCAGTCGTCCCAGTCACAATCTTGCACCCCACACCGTCCATCCATCGTCCGTAGAGACCACTCACCCTCCCACTTCCACTTCCACTTCCACTCCCACTCCCACTCCCACCTCTCCGTCTCCCGCGACGATGCAACCGCCCCACGCACACCGATCGACCGAGGAAAATTCGCCCGGTCGGTTGGTAGATCGGTTGGAAGAAAGAGGACCCATGTTGGATTTTACCGCCGTGAGAAGAATCTTAACCCCTGATCACGACACGGGGAAAGGGACGGATCCAGACTTTGAAAGAAAGATTCATCAGTTGAAAGTCATGGCCGCTTGGTTGAAAGTAGTCATACGTCGACCTTGGAGAAAAAGATCAAAATCAATGAAAACTCAACAAGAACCTATCGTCGTTGGAGTTTTGGTAGGTGAAAAAGGACCTAGGTATATAGTGAGTGTTCATAATTTCTTTATTTATCTATTTTTCGTTGCTTTTCAAATCTTTCACTTGAACCCACCCGCGGGGCAATCATATATCCTACCGCCTGTGTCCAGGCTGTTGGGTTGATTGTGAGAAGAATCAGTCTTTTCATGTTTACCACGAAAAATCCTTCTCAATCAGTGACTCCGAAAGGGTTGCAAAACTCGAGAAATCTGCCACGAATTTTGCAAATTTGACAGATCCGGGATCATCTAAAAAAACCTATCTTATGCTTGATCTTTGGACGCTTGAACTTGTTCGAGGATCATCAAACTGCTGTATGACCTGGCGGGAAGTTTATTTAAACATGTGTTTTTTTTTTTCTCTTGGAAAATTCGACGGATACGGATCATCTTTCAAAAACGTGTCACATGTGCTGACTTCCAGTTACCACCAAATTTCAAACAATCCCGTCTACAAGATGGAATCATTTACCTCGCCGTGTGTCCTTTCGTATATGAAGAAGAAACAAATGTGAACGCCCGACTATCATCACGACTTGTCACCGGTTGGACGGAAGATGAACATGAGGAGAGAAGAGACCAAAGTGAAATATCTTGGATCGTCACTGTGGTCCGGCGGATATCAAAAGATGGTTATTCCCTCGGACGACGAATGGATGAATCTCTCCGACAACGACGTATAGGTGAGGATGATTCTGAGAGAGATTGCAAGAAATGTTCAAGGTACGAAATGAACAAGCTGTTTTTGTCAATGGGTTCATCGGAAAATGTACGTGTCTCGTAAGGTTGTTTCGTATGTGATCAATGTTACGTTGTTCCATTTCAATACCCATCTGTTCCAAGACTCATCTCTTCCAAGACTCATCTCTTCCACGCTCATCTATTCCACGCTCATCTATTCCACGCTCATCTATTCCACGCTCATCTATTCCACGCTCATCTATTCCATGTTTGTTCTATGCCACGTTCATTTCTTCCACGTGCATTTCTTCCACGCTCATTTCTTCCACGCTCATCTGTTCCACGCTCATCTATTCCACGCTCGTCTATTCCACGCTCATCTATTCCACGCTCATCTATTCCACGCTCATCTATTCCATGTTGTATCATGCCACGTTCATATGGAAATGCTTGACTTGATTTGGTGAATATGGAAGAAGATAAAAGGACACGGGAAAGAAGAAAAGGAGAGAACATCTGGGAGGGGCAGCAAAAGAAAGTTGCTGACATGTTTAGGATTTCATCTCGACCATGTTCGATCCTGATTTTTCATCGACGAGAATTTGCAAAGTGAACAATGGCAATCGTCGTATCGATCAAATCGTAAAGGACATGAAACGTACGATGAATCAGGTGGAAAACCTTGACGAAATGTTGCTAGGGAAAGACCAAGAAGAAGATGATAGACCGAGTAGTGGTGAACAACACAAACACGTTGATTTCGATGACGACCCACATGTTCGACTACCCATGTTCATACACGAGAGCGGAACAAGGACAAGGCTCGATCTCGATCCTCTGATCAAAGCTTGTTTAGTGGTAGAACACGCACTTTTGTCTTGCTCACGAGATGACACAGAGTTAGCCGGCTGCAAGGAGGGTTTGCGAGTCGATGACACTGACACTGATACGGTCGATCTGGGAGATCTGGGGGGGGACCCAAGCGCAGAACTGTGGGCTAGGTTGATAGTGTTGATCCTCGAACTCAGGTTCGAATTCCAGAACGAAGATAGAGAAGGGGGGAAAAGTGGGGGTGATGAGTCAGAGTCTGATTCAGGGGATGATATCTAAGGGAGAAACCAAACCGCGATCGGGTCGAGTTGTCCGTAAGGATGACTTATGAGTATACAAAATAATGAATTTGTGAGAGTCATTGTACAATATCGTGTCTCTTGGAGGAAGATTTGAATGTATCCCCTCTAACAGACAAACGGTCGACGAACCTCGGCTAACTTGAGGGTTCAAAGTTGATGTCTCTCCCAACCAGGAGGGCGCAGACTTCGAAAGGAGTGTAACTACGGCGTACTTCAGCGTAGTTACTCGGACTAGGGTTTTTCTCTGATGGCAATGTATCTTAATCTGTATGTAGCTATCTCTATCAATCTGTCACTACTGACAACAATCAAGGATCACTGAAGAACTTCAGCAATCTTCTCAGCTAATATTATCTACTCCTCCTAGATCTTCACCGAACCCTTTCACGCTTAGAGGTACTTCAACACACTTCATCCAACTTTCCCGAGTCCCCGGCCGTCCTTCTCCTCCCTTCAACTAACTCCGCCTAACATTGCCACACTTCTGCTTCCATTGTCCCTACCCAGCCTAACTCTGTCTAATTTTGCCGTACTTCTGCTTCCATTGTCCCTACTCAGCCTAACTCCGTCTAACTTCGCCGTACTGCTGCTCCCTTTGTCCCTAGTCCCCCTAACTCCGCCTAACTTTGCCGCACTTTGCCGTCGTTATGCTCCAGACCCCCGTATACCTTATTCTCGCGTTGTACTTCACCGTAGCTGGTCTCAGATGTCCTAAGTTACGTGTAGGGTGGGGAGGTTAAGACGTGATAGGGGTTTTGATGGTCAAAGGAGGGTCGTTGCTGGTGGGATAATTGAGGTGTCACGGCATAGTTTGTGACAGTCGCCCCCCTAGCCGCAAGCGTCCTCGTGAGCGATTACACTTCTAACTTGGCAAGAAAAACTCAGCGGCGTTGTACTTCCCTTCCTCTCTGTCTCCTAAATTCATCCTTCGCATCTCTACTCTCTTCGCCGCACTTCATAGTTAACCCTCCTTCTACTCTGAAACCTGACAATGCAAGGTTCTCCTAACTTTGTCGAGATTGCCGTAATAATCCCTGTATCTTTTGTAGGTGAGACACGCTTCCCGAATGGTAGCCGAACAATGCCGTTGTTTGTCAAAGTAACCCTCGCTTATATTGAGATGAGACACTATTGCGTGGGAATTTTGATTGTCCCTGTGCTGTCCTTTGTTGATGAAACGCGAAGTTTGCCGCATGTTGACGACGAGGGGGTAGGTCTGATCATACTAAGTACTGAGTAGTTCGTCGAGTTTCTCTCTTTTCCCCATCTGCTTTCAAAACTTTCTATCTCTTTCACCTGGAAAACAGATTTATTACCTTGACCTGCCATCTCAGTTTATTTCTCTAAGTAAGTTAGCGTCATGGCCCCTCCTACTCCCACTCCCAACACCTTTGCCGCCATGAGGAACTTCGGCGGTATGGTGTCATCTGCCCGTGAGTTTTCTTTGTTACTCTGCTTACCTCCCCGAACTTGGCTGATGTTCAGTTTCCTTCGGCGACGGATCTCGCCAAGTCTCCTCCCTCGGGCTCGGTACTCCCTCTATGAGAGAGCCTTCCGGCACTGCCTCTCCTCCCTGCTCTGCTTCTCCTGTCGCCGCTTCTCCTGTTGCCGCTTCTCCTGTTGCCTCTTCTCCCGTCGCCATCGCTGGTCCTCCCGGAGGGTATCCTCCTTTCTCCATCCCTCGCCGTAGGACGCCGACCTTCCGTCCCGGTGAGTCCCCAAGCTCCTCCAATCAGGAGGTGCTTGGTGACGGTTCCTCAGATTCAGATTCAGACTACAATGATGTTCATTCTGACGATGATGATCCTGATGAGGGTAGGGCTGTGGTTGAGGAGGAAGGCAGGTTAGAAGAATACTCGGATGATGATACGAGGGAGGTGGTTAGTGTAGAGGACGGAGAGGTAGATGGTCCTGAGTGTGAGTCCTTCGTCCTTCCCCTCCCATCTTTGCCAAACTTGGCCTTGTTTATCTGTTCTTTTAGCTTCCTAAGACATTGCTAACTCGCAGCCGTTCCCGTCCTTCCCCCTGCCCAAGTTGTGGGCCAAAAACGTCCCCGTTCTCTCTCCTCTTCTTCTTCTTGTTCTTCTTCCTCTTCTGGGGTTCTCCCCCCCCCCGCCAACGCCATTGCCGCCGCGGCTGCTGCCGCTGCCCGTCCTGTCGCCGCCGCTCGACCTGCTGCTGCCGCCGCCGTCGCTGCTCCCCTCCCTTCTCCCCGAGGGGAGCCTTCGCCCAAACGGGTGAACAGATCATTGCGGGAAGAAGAGTACTTGTGGGAGAAGGTGAAGTCTGAGCCTGGACGTTGGGTAGTGCTTGGTGTCGATGAAGCGTGTGATCGTTGCCAGTGAGTATTCCTATTCGTACTAAGTCGAAGTTACCCCTGCTAATTAGTAGACGTGAGATCATCACGTATAACCGTCCAAACTGGCCCTGCCTCAAGGCCATTAGGCCACACAACAAGGCCCTCCGTTGTGCTTTGTGCACATCTGGCATCTGCTCCTTCTGTCCCCTTTTCTCTGCCCGGGACATCCTGCCCGGTTCCTCCGACTTCTCTCCTTTCCCCCCTCCCCAGACTCCAGCGTCTGTCCCCCGTTTGCGGGTACCATCTTAGTCTCTCCGCTTGGTTCGCCGTACTTTGCCGGACTCCCGCCCTTTTCGTCCGTCGCTGTTGCCCTTCGCTCCTGTGGCTGGCCCGTCACGTCTCCCAGCTGCTCCTCCTTTGTCCTCTCGCTGTGCTTCGGTCTCTCGTCCGTCCTCTCCTGCGGTGCCGTCACCTCCGGCCCACGGTACCCGAAGTCGCCGTCCTTCTGCTCCTCCAACCACCCCGGCGACCGCTCCTGTCACCCCACCCTCTGCTCCCAAGAAGACACCAAAGTCTTCGTTAAAGAAATCAAAAGGGAAAGGGAAAGAGAAGGGGGTCACCTTCAATGATGGTGCTGTGGGAGATGAAAGTACTCACCGTGCTGGTCCCTCTGCTCCTCGGTTGTCCTTCTTCCATCCTCAAATCTCCCTGGACGTTTGTATCCCGGAGGATGAAAAGGAGTTTGCTACCTATTGCTCTCTCGTTCTCGGCCTCACCACTCAGCTCGAGGCCGCCCGACATGACACAGCTCTGTTGCTTGACTTCTCTACTCGTCAGGCTAATGCTTTGAATAACCTTACTGCGGCGTTAGTAGATGTAGTCAACATTGGGGATGTAAACAAAGAAGCAAGGACGAGGTCAGCAGACGTCTCTCGCCGAAGCCTGACTGAGATAGCCGATGTTTGCCAAAGACTTTACGACACCCCCCTCCTCGTCAATCCTATGGCGTATGAGCCACCACCGTCCATCGACTGGTTAGGTCGCAGTAGTAGTTCTTGTGTCCCTGCTCCCGCTCAGACTGCTCTCAATCTCCTCAGTCTCCCCTTCGAGTGTCTTCGGCCAATACATTCTTTGTGGAGGACCCCGAGCATGCAAGCTGCTCGAGATGTCCAGGACTTCGGTGACTTCTTTGGGGCTATGAATTGGGCATGGAATGCTTCTCTCTCCACTGCCTTCCCTCCCAAAAGTCTCGATCTACCTTCAGCCATCGGTAGCCTTCACACCAACCCTGCGGGATCGAGTAGAGCGAAGGAGAAGGGAAAAGGAAAGGGTAAGGGTAAGTGAGCTGTACGTAGCTGTGGTTCTATGTTGTATGCAGTACGGTTCTACCTCCTAGTCCTTCGCAGTCGCCCTTCCTTTGGTTTAGTGGGGTGAAGTTCGTGGAACTTCGCCAATATGTCATTAGCTCCATCCACATTCTCTACCGGTTCTCATGACACTGAATCGCCTGTCCCTTCGTAACCCAACCGCTCCACCAGGTACTCTAATTTTCCTGACCTCTTATTTACTCTAGAGTCTACAACATCTTTTACTTCCCACGACTCTCCTACGTTATCTACCTCTACTGGGCCAGGTGGTTCAGCTTGCTGACAAGGGAATACTGGAGGATGGTAAGGACGGAGCAAAGAGACATGGAATACATCATGGATACCTGCCATCGCTCCTGGTAATTCCAACTTGCAAACGTGAGAACCTACCTGCCGTACTACCTTGTACCGCCCACTTTGCTTCACATCCAATTTCTTCATCGGTCTCTTAGTCTTAATATTCTCTAACAACAGCATAACTAGGTCACCTTCCACGAAGTTCAGCGTAGTTCGATGTTTCCTATTGTATCCCTTGGCGTACTTCTCATTAGCTTTTTCAATCCCCTCTATACATTCTTTATGTATTTTGGTCAAGTCTTTCACCACTACCGTGGCAGCGGGCACTTCGACTTCACTGGTCTTAATCTCTTCGGCCCATCGAGGGTGGTACCCGTAGTTCGTATAGAACGGTGTCTTGTTTATTGCGAAGTGATGGGTGTTGTTATAGGCGAAGCTGGCTCGAGCAAGCAGCTTCGACCAGTCGTTCTGCTGGTAAGAAGTGAAGATTCTAAGGTATAATTCGAGAGATTGATTGGTTCGTTCGGTCTGTCCATCAGTCTGTGGATGGTACACAGTAGAGAGATGTAGTCTTATTCCCAGACTATTGGTTAAGGTTTTCCAAAACTTTGACGTAACCTTCGATCCTCTGTCTGACACTATGTTCTCTGGTAACCCATGCTGAGCCACCACATAGTCCATTATCAGCTCTGATAGCCTAGCTGCGGTCAACTTCGTTGTAGTTGGGACAAAAATGGCCCATTTGGTCAACCAGTCCACCACTACCAAGATCGAATTATACCCATGGGAACTCGGGAGTTCTTCGATAAAATCCATCAAGATACTGGACCAAGGTTTCGTAGCCACTTGCAATGGTTTGAGCTCCCCATGAGGTTTCTGCCTGTTAGTCTTTGCTCTCTGGCATACCGCACATCCCGCGATATAGTCTTCGACATCCTTCCTTACTCCAACCCAAACGTAATCCCTTAGGACAAGCTCGAGGGGCTTTGATGAACCTGGGTGACCAGCTAGGGCCGAATCGTGTCGCATCTTCATGATCTTTAGTCGGGCATCGGCATAGTTCGGCACATAAGTGCGATCGTCGAACGTGAGGAAACCCCTTGAGTTCCACCCTCCACGAAGTATTGAGGGGGACCGTGAACCGCGCCATAGTTCGGTTATTGACACTGGTTCCTGTACATTATCGTGACACGTTGTATGAGAGCACTCAGCGCAGATGACCCCTAGTAGCTCCTTTCTAACCTCCTCCACTTCTTCATCTTCCTGTATCCCAACAATCAGGTCCATGGGATCAATAAGGTCGTCCTCTCTTACTTCTTTTGTCCCTTGCAAAGCACAAAGTAGGTGTTGTAACCCAGAGCTAGTGCCGTCAAGTTCGTCGAACTTCGGCAATCCTTGAATAAGGTTGCTCTCTTGCAACATAGTACTTCGCTTTCCAGAGTGGTAGTCTGCTCTTCTCGAGAGCCCAACCGGCAGTGTAGCTTGTTTCCCTGGTCGATACACCATCTTAAACCTAAAGTTAGAAAGCGACCCACCTGCCCTGCCTTGGGCTTAACTGCTTCCGTTCCATCCAATAGGTCAAGTTCAAGTGGTCCGTGAGCACTGTAGTCTCTACCTGTAACAGTAAGTGTCTCCTTCTCCTAAAAGCCTCAACGATAGCTAGTAGTTCCTTCTCGCCTACCGTATGATTTAACTGCGCCGCTTGAAACGCTCCTGACTCGATAGCTACCGGGTGTTCTTGTCCTAATTCGTTCACCTGCGATATTATGAAGCCCCAGCCGAAGAACGATGCATCTGTCTGTAGTAATGTCTTCAACGAAGGATCAAAGTGAGCCAATACTGGGGCCCTACACATTCTCTCTTTCAATTCTTTAAAAGCTCTTTCCTGCTCTATTCCCCCGACAAACGGTACATCCTTCCTCGTGAGATCATTGATCGGTTTAGCAATTCTGGAGAAGTTGGGGACAAAACGGCGATAATAACTGACAACTCCCATAAATCCTCTGCTCTCTCTCAAGTTCTTAGGACGGGGAAAAGATACGACAGCATCGATGTACTCCGGATTACTAGAAACTCCCTCTTGCGAGACCACAAAACCCAGGAAAACTACTGAATTTCTTTCAAACTCGCACTTACTGGCCTTTACAAACAAATTCGACCTCCGAAGCACTTCAAACACCTTCGCCGTAGTTCCCCTCAGTTCTTCCAACGTTTGACCATAGATGAGTATATCATCTATGTAGACAACTACTCCTTTCCCCAATAGTTCTCGGAAACTTTCATTCAGAAAATGCTGGAATACAGCAGGAGCATTTTGCAGGCCATCTCGGACAACAAGAGACTCGAACATACCGTACTGAGTCCTGAACGCTGTCAAGTGCTTGTGTCCTTCCTTTACTTGTAGGAATTGATAAGCTCCAATTAGATCTAACTTGCTGAAATACCTTGCCATCCTTAGCTCTTCAGTTATCTGACCGATTAGAGGTAGTGGATAGGCGTCGGGTATCGTCGCCTCGTTTAACTTTTGGTAGTCAATGACCATTCGCCATTGGCCCTTTGCTTTCTTTGGTACGGAGAACATCGGTGATCCGTACGGTGAATTACTGGGTCGGATTCTTCCAGCCGATATTTCGCAATCTAGGATGTCTCTCAGCGCACTTCTCTGATCTTCTCCAAGTGAGTAGAGTGGAGCAACCTTTAGGTTCACCCCCTCCTTAAGAACAAACTCCAAATCATATTCCCTTGAGGGAGGTAGTTCTTCACCTCCCTTCCTCGGGTTAAACACATCAATGCACGGGTGGTATTGTTCAGGAACTACCTGATATAATTCCTGCTGTTCCTCCGGACTCAGTTCATCCTGGTCATCTTTGTCTCGGAGATCTATCGCGTCCATCGGAGTCGGCAGCCCTATGGCCGCTAACCTTGCCACACTTGGTGGGGTCGGGATGGGGAATTTCACCGAGTTGTCTCTTCCATCAAGAACAACCCCTTCCTTCCTTATCTCTAACATGTGAATTTGCGCTTATAGGTGTTGCTTTGTATTTTGCGCAACAACCTGAAGACCAATTGGGCTGAAATAAACACCTGTCATAGAAGCCACCGCAGCGCACTCTGCTGCGAAGAGTTTGCACCATTTCAGTCAGTAGGTCAAAAGATATGAGGCAATTTGTGCTGGAAAAAAGCGAAAAGCGTCTAACATGTGAATTTGCGCTTCTAGGTATTACCATGATGGTACTGCTCTTTATTTTGCGCAACGACCTGTCAACCAATTGAGCTACAATCGACACCTGTCATAGAGGCTACCGCAGCGCACTCTGCTGCGAAGAGATTGCACCATTTCAGTCAGTAGGTCAAGAGACATGAGGCAATTCGTGCTGGAAAAAGCGAAAAGCGTCTAACATGTGAATTTGCGCTTCTAGGTATCACCATTAAGGTACTGCTTTATAATTTGCGCAATGACCTGTACACCAATTGGGCTGAAATCAACACCTGTCATAGAAGCCACCGCAGCGCACTCTGCTGCGAAGAGTTTGCACCATTTCAGGCAGTAGGTCAAGAGACATGAGGCAATTCGTGCTGGAAAAAGCGAAAAGCGTCTAACATGTGAATTTGGGCTTCTAGGGATCACCATTAAGGTACTGCTTTGTATTCTGCGCAACGACCTGTCAGATGTAGAAAGTAGAATGCATAAAGGGAACAATATTGACAGAGGTCAGATATGAGACGAGGGAATACTCGGAAATAGCAATAGCGCTCGAATGTGGCAGTTAGCTGATTGTACCATTTTTGACACCCCCACTCAAGCGGATCTGCCACATACGCCTAATAGCTCCCTCAGTCTATCAAATGTATGTGAAGGAAGAGCCTTTGTCAACAAGTCAGCCATATTCTCTGCTGAGGGAATATGTGACAGAGAGACAGTGTTATCTTCAACTTTCTCCCGAATATAATGATGTCGCAGGTCAATATGTTTTGTCTTGTTATGATGAACCGGATTCTTGGCAAGAGCTATAGTTCCCGCATTGTCATTGAGAAGTTTCAAAGGTTCTTGACCAAGTCCAAGTCCCAAATCATCCAAAAGTTGCCTTGACCATACAGCTTGGCGTGTAGCATCTGATGCTGCCATGTATTCCGCTTCTGTTGTTGAAAGCGCAACTGTAGGCTGTCTCCTACTTTTCCAAGCAACAACTCCACCATAAACTTTAAAGACATATCCAGTGGTTGATCTTCTAGTGTCCAAATCTCCTCCCCAATCTGCATCTGCAAAACCTAAGGCAATGTGGTTGCTATTCTCTTTGTTAAAGGTGAGACAAAGATCAGAAGTACCACGGATATAACGAAGTAGGTGT